ATATATATATATGTATAAAATGACGGCATGATATCACGACAGCGTAATGGAATCTTGGGAATTCGAGTTGATGTTGCAACCGGATCTGAGAGCGTAATATGATGATAATAAAACAATCAATTTAGCAGTAGGATGATACCTGATCTGGCGACGAGGGATGTTTTGCCTAGATATACCGTCGAGTCGTTTCCACTTAATTCGCTGTTATTGCCAGCTTGCCCGGCGTTTCCGGTGGTCGCCATTGCGATGTCGCTGTGCCTGCAACCTACCCTAAAATAAAATACACGTCCATTTACGCGAACGTTTATTTAGAGCTTAAGAGAATTAGATATTAATTAGCGAGACTTTCCCCTTAAATCTTGCAATTGGATCAATTAGCCTTCTCCTCGTCAAGGTAGGTCTTAAAAATTTATCACGCAACTTTCCTTAGTAATGCGCTAAGACTTTGACGCGCGTATTTTCGTATTTCATAATTTTAATTCTGTTCCATATTTAAAAGCATTTCATAAAATAAACTTTACTACTTTGCGATTTCTGTCTAGCAGCGATTTCTGTCTAGTGAACGCGTTAGCAAGTTTGGAGCTTGACGTGAAAACGGCTGTTACGTAATTGCAGTCTTTCTACCCGACCGCGGGTAGCTCCAACGAGCTCTTCCAAACCTCGTATCTTCCGCGAAATTAATCCGGCGCGCCGGCAACCAACTGGTACAACTTGTAAAAGAGAACAGATTTGTACAGCGGAGCTTTGTCTTATGTCGCGATAACTCCTTTGAGTTTCCGCCGTAAACGAAAAATGTGCATACGCACAGCTTCATCTAGATTTTACCTCCAACACCGGTGGCAGTCGAACAGTCCGAGGAATGCCTGGCGAAATTTCCTGTTCATGAAACCGTACGTGATGGGATTGCAGCAACTCGAAACATAGGCCAGTAATTGTACCAGGCTGATGCCGGTGCTACCTACGACCGAGTACACCAGCTCGGGTGCGAAAAGGTACCACGTATTGATTACGTGCAACGGCGCCCAGCATATGAAGAATTCCAGGACTATTACGAAGAGCATCCTGATCACCTGCAACACCAGGCGGTCGTCACATTTAATGTGACGAGCAGGAACATTTGTCTTGGGCACAGGGTGCTTCTGACCGAGATTCATATTCAGGAAGGCAAGTGTGTGGTATTGTTTCGGTGTGTATTCCGTTACCACGATTGTCGACTCACTCAAACGTTCATGATCAACATTCTGCTCGCGTGGTATGCGAAATTAAATCATTTTACGTGTAAATATGTAGAGAAAGTATTCGCTCGTACGTTTCGTATTTGCAAAGTAGGAATATAGGATTCTTTTGAAGCGAGCGCGCTCCAGGTGGATAATAAAAGGTTAATACAGCCACGAAATGCTGATAAATATCTTGCGGCCTGGCGTGCAACGTGTTTTTCCTATGCTCGCTCCAGATCCCACGATTTCTTAGAAACGAGAAACGCCGAATGCTACGAACGAGAGAACTTACAGTGCGCGCTTTATATGGCATGCAAGGGGCACACGTGATGCCGCATTAAATTTTCGATACGGAAATTGTTGCTTGCCCCGCTACGCCAGTGCAATTCGATCAGTCAGGTTTCCGTACTTACCTTCTTCTTCGCCTCTATGCTCTTCCCCATGTAATTACTCCGTATCACATGTTGTCTGCTGAGCGGACAGGTTGAGTCCTGCTGATCCTCATTAGAGATATCCTTCGTGTCTCGCGTTAAACAGCCACTTCCGTTTGTTCGAATTTGGATCCGGGAATTCTGGGACAAAGCTGTACCGTGACATCTGCCGGTAAATACCCTGGAGACCATCGTTCGTGGTAACCGCACCTTTTTTTTTGTAGAAGAGGAAAGAGAAACACAATGTTTCGGTTAATCATTGCACAAATATTCTCGAGACAATAAACAATTTTATTTGCCATAATTATGGAAATTTATCTGATATCTAGCCGTGAGCTGCTTCACTGGATCATGAAATCTCAATTAGCCCAGAGAAGTTAATGATGCACACGAGTTCACTCTTGTGAATTACAATCAAAATAGGTCTTATATATTAATAAAGTGATAATAATAGAAAATAATAGAATTAATAAGTGAAAATAATAGAATTCAGTATTAATCTCGAGAATAATTACAATATTATTAATTCAAATATGTTTTTGTACATTTATTGAATGTCACATTTAATTACTCACTTTAACTTTATTAAGCAGTAATAACATAGAAATAAATCTTGTCACAATCATAATATTAAATTTAAAGAATTTTTAATAAGATATTAAAAATGAATATTTGACAATTATTTGTAATTTGCAATTTATTTCTATTCTATTTACTCTATTTAACAAAAATTTATATTTAAATTCGGATCTTTTGTATAAACATGATGATGATTTTATTATTACATTTTGTATAATAAACGTTTTCATTAAAATATTTATTACCAACGCTTATTCCATTCAAATTTATTACTCGGATCTGGATTTTGCAAGTCTGCAATGTACTATTGCAGACTTGAGAAAGAGTAATATAAATCAAATAATTTCAGCAATTAATGCATTTGACTTTTAATCTTCCAGCTTACGTAATAGATTATGATCTTAATTTCTATCCCAAAGCAATGTTTAGTATTTTCTCAGTATTTTCTCACCCTAGGTGGTGCACTTTGAGAAGCGCTTTGGAAGTGCCTCGAGGAAGACGAGAAGCTCCGCCGCGTTCTTGAAGTCGGGCCGCAAGCATCAAATACCACTGTCGATCTTGCATCTCGATCATTGTTGTTGTTGTAATTTGAGCCCCGAATTATTGCACTAGACTCCGTTCTCGCGACTGTAATTTATAAGTTTACAATCTTCGATTTTAATACAGACTTAAAAAAAAGCACATATATTTCATATCGTTTAATTTTAATATCCGGAAACATATATTTCTTTCTTTATTAAGGATATCGATAGCAAACATAATATGCTTTTAAAGTTCGTTCAATTAAAGTTCATTCAATAATTTATTAAGAATATTGATAGCAGACAAAGTATGCACAATTTTTAAGGTCCATCCAATAACTGTTAACAAACATATATATCAGTAATAATGTTATTATATACGTAATTTCGTTGACGTACTGTAAACTTTCTGTTCAATAGATTTTGCGGCGCAAAATCAGCGCAAATAAAATGAGATTTGACGTAATGGCAGCTTTGGGAAATATTTTTCTAGGGCGCTCGCGATGCCGACGCAGCAGGATTCTACGCGAAAATTGGTACTGTCACATCTACGTCCGTATATCGAAGAGATACTTCACTTACGTCTCCTGGTACATGTTGATGACTGTCGTATCTCGAGCTTCAGGCCGCGCCAAAGTTTCATCGCTATCAGCGAGTAAGCCAGGCACATGAGCAGCAATGGTATCAGGAGCAACGTACCGTCCAGAAAGAGATTGTACGCTCTTCGGTGCCGACGCTCGGCCATTTTCGCGACATTTATGCCTTCCTAAAATTGACGTAAAAAGTTTTTTAACTATTTAACCAATAAACGCGTAGGAATCTCGACATAATCAAGAGTAGAGAGAGAGAGAGAGAGAGAG